CACACAGCTGAATCTTCCCTCTCTGCAGCAGTGGCCAACTTTAAAAAGACATATATTATATTACTCGTAAACTATAATCAACTTACCCAAGCTTAGGAATTCTTCCAATATAGAACTGGCACTTTGAATTCGCCAATTTTCTACATAGACTGTACACACGTCTTGACACTTAGGAATCAGGCGAGAGAATGCCGCTCAAACCTAAACTCGGCGTCTCTAGGAAAGAAGTGCCCTGTATTCATGCCTAAGGAGTAAACTGGTTTACAGGAATTTCTGAATTAAACACCAGAAATCTTCAACCTACAGTTGCAAGTTTGAAAATGAAGATTTATCAAAGCAACTAGAGGGTCTAGAAATGAATATATTACCAGATAAAGGTATATATCATTATAAGGGACTATATACCCATCCGGACGGGTTTAAGTTTGAAATGTGACTGCCCGCTTAGGGAAGTCAGAGTAACGACTCGACCATCGTGCAGGGTTGGCTGCTCACTTCACGACACCCACGACCCTTCGATCTGCGGCGAGCGTCTAGCCGGCTCGGCCACGGCTACTCCCTGTTTTATAGTCCTGGGACATTTTCTATCCTCTTGTTGTTCTTATATTTTTTTCGATTGGTTTGGGAGGGGAAGGATGAACGGAGAGTTCTATCATATATACACAGGGGTGCCGTCTGAAAAATGTTGAACACCACTACTTTAGTGGGATATTGAAAAAAAATAGGTTATATGCGTTTCCAAATGCGTGCCGTCACACTTAAACCAATATCTCGTAAACTTCTGTACGGATCAACACGAATAGTTGTTGCATGTGACGTTAGATTTTCCAATGTCCTTATGATTTTGTAATTTACATTTGCACAGGTGCTGCTGTTTTCTTAGAGCGGCGAATTTATGTGATCTTTGACTTATAATTTTCGTAAAATCATAAGTAATTGCCACACGCGGGGAGATTTTTTGGGAATCAGTTGAGATACGCAGCGATGCATAGTGATTATTCTAATAGCCTATCCCATATACAATAAAAACACAATATGCCACGGGAGACTGATACTATAAATTACCTCCAGAGAGTGAAATAATATATATATATATATATAAATAAAATGCGTGCAGTATGATGTTTTGAAAAGCTTCCGTTACACACTTAGCAGTGAGCATGTTGATTGTTTGCTGTGAGTCGGTATCTGTTTTTCCCCTCTCCATCTGACGCAAATAAAGCAAAATAAAATAAAAAAATAGGTTTGTTTACATTAAACAAAAAATATATCTTTCAAGGACATGCAGCGTCTGTGGCTTGGGCGTTGCGAGTTTCCAGAAACCATGAGTTGTTAATGTTGACCCTTTGGCTCGCTACTATGAATATGGCAACCCTTCGGCCTTCATTCTATGACAGGTGCCGTAAATCTGGGAGAAATGTAGGTTTTCTGCCTACCCCAGGGCGTAAACCCGGACCACAAGGAGTTTGTCATCTGGGAACTGCGAAGTCAGGTTTAACCAACTACGCTAGCGAGAGGGACTGTCGTTACCAGTACATATAAAAGAACTCTCAGGAGTAACTTTACCGCCTACATAAAAATATTGACGTGTTTGTGTGCGCGTGAAGTAGAAGATCCTGTTCAGTTTGGGCATTGACCGCTTCGATCCACGGGCGATTAATGGTTGAGCGAGCATCAAAGGTTTAGCGAAGGTGAGAAATTAGGCCACTCCTGAAACAACACCGCGCGGCATAGTGTGGCTGGTTGCAGGGCACTTAATGAAGTGTTTCCCAAACATGTCTTAGTCGCCGCACCTTTTTAAAATTAAATATTTTCCACGGCGCCCTAACCTAAGTGAAAGTATGACTTCGTATGTAAGAAAGAAAGAAAACAAATTTCGTGTATCTTCGAAAATTTCGCGGCGACCCTGTGAAGAGGTCACGGCTCCCCCGGACGCCGCGGCGCACAGTTTGGGGATCCCTGACTTAAGGCTAGGCTAGAAACATTTCATGCTTTGATGTTGCGTTGTTTTATTGATGTGGTGTTGTTGGTCATGTGTGTTTATAGGAAACAAGCGTCAACTTGCATGCATGGAGGTTGAGATTGATTTAGATTAGTATTCACCAAAGTAGAAAGATATAAAGTGAAGTAAAACAAAAGTTAAGGACCCTTTTCCACGCCTTGGGCGTATAGGGCATATAGGGCTAAACCTATACTTTTAAAGACTAATCGGCACAAGGTGGGTGATGTGGTCAGCATCACGCCGACCGCCTCTACCTCCCAGGACTGCACCCGGTACCCACTCAAGGCTGTGTCGATCTGAAGGTCAAGGTCACTTTTAAAAAAAGTCCGGCTTCACCAGGGAGCGTACTCACGACTTTCCGATCCGTGGCGAGAGTCTAGCCGCTTCGCCACGGTAACTCCCAGAAAGATATAAAACCAAACGAAAACTACATCAGCGAGCTTCACAATATAACAAACACATACACAACCTGAACGTTGCGGAGTTCGTCAGCACATATATAATTCAAATAAAACCACACGAAAACCCACAATCACTTAACTTACATATTGAGATGCAGCCGCATTAATGTCTTGCCAGTGCAATGAGAATTATTTTCTAAAGTAAGCGCTTAACCCCCCGCCCCCCCCCACCCTCCTCCACCCAGGCCAGAGATCGGTAGCAGCTTCAAATGTAGGTGGGACCTTTTGAATGAAACAAAGACAACAGTAGAGAGAGAGAGAGAGAGAGAGAGAGAGAGAGAGAGAGACAGACAGACAGACAGAGAGACAGAGAGAGACAGAGAGAGACAGAGAGAGAGAGACAGAGAGAGAGAGTGAGAGAGAGAGAGCATATTGATGAACTGTTTGTACCTTTCTCAGTATACTGTAACATATTAAAATCATAGTTATTTGCTTAGTTTTTCAAAATTAACCAGCAAATTATGTCATCACCAATCAGATTCATCCTCGTTAAAGAATATGTTCGCCTCGACGCCACCGCCCAAGCTTAAAGCTAACTAACACCCCTAGAATATTTTACTTTACCGGGGACTCCCGGTTCTTCTTTGGGGGTGAATAAAATTGAAGTACCGGGATCTTTATTTCACTTTTATGGACAGTATGCATATTGATAATTTAATGGCCAGATGAAAGAAAACATCATGCCAGGCTTCAGTATCGACTGCTTTCAAACACGCCAGCCGCAGGCGATTAATGGTTGAATGAGCTGCAGGAGTCTAGTGAAGCTGAGAAATTAGGGCTCTCCTGAAACAAACATCACACGCCATGGCAGGATTGTTTGGAGCCCTTATTGTTACAAGGCCGGGCCGGACGCATTTGATCCTTTGATGTTACGTGTTATTAATGGATGGGGTAGAGCGGTGTTTGTTCCGTAAAACGAGTGAACTAAAAGGTACCAATTCTGAGATTTACATAAGTTGTGTCTTGATTGACTGTCGGCTCTTTGGCTAAGTCGACGCGAACGCTTCGTTATGCCGGGATGCCGGGTTCGATTCCAGCTGCGGACCATGCGTCTTGCGTTGGTTTCGAAAGTGGTATCAAGAAAGCCGACCGTCCAGGGGCAATGGCAAACTACTGGACGTAAATTTGCCTAGAAAAATCACACAACAGCCAGGGACTGTTGGGGTTGGTTCTGCAACGTCCTGTAAAAGATACGCAACTAACCTTGATTGACAACTGGTGTTGTCGTTCTTGGCCGCATAGACCTGCAGATTTGTACAGTTAAGTTCGCAACCTCAGCCCTATCAGGAAGCCACCGTTGTGAAGCAGATAGACGCTCACCAGCCGGTCTGAAGGTTGTGGGTTCGGGACCTGAAGGAACCTGACTTTTCTCAAACATCACTATGACTCCCAGGTCGACCAAGCCTTAAGGAAGTGCCAGGAAGAGTCCTAGGAAGTAAAGGCGACCAGCAGGATGTTAACCACATCATCCACCGTGTACCAAATGGGCTATAAAATATAGGTCTAGCCTTTTGTGCCCAAAACGCATAAAAGCGTGAATAGGGTCCTTCATTTAAAGTTTGCGCCTTAAACGTTAACTAGGGGGGTGTGGTGGGTTCTTCTTTCAGTCTTATACTGGACATTTGCAGTCCCAGTTTGGACACTTACAGTCCCAGGTTGGACACTTACATTCCCAGGTTGGACACTTGCAGTCCCAGGTTGGACACTTACAGTCCCAGGTTGGACACTTACAGTCCCAGGTTGGACACTTACAGTCCCAGGTTGGACACTTGCAGTCCCAGGTTGAACATTTGCAGTCCTAGGTTGGACACTTACAGTCCCAGGTTGGACACTTGCAGTCCCAGGTTGAACACTTACAGTCCCAGGTTGGACACTTACAGTCCCAGGTTGGACATTTGCAGTCCTAGGTTGGACACTTACAGTCCCAGGTTGGACACTTGCAGTCCCAGGTTGAACACTTGCAGTCCTAGGTTGGACACTTACAGTCCCAGGTTGGACACTTGCAGTCCCAGGTTGGACACTTACAGTCCTAGGTTGGACACTTACAGTCCCAGGTTGAACACTTGCAGTCCCAGGTTGAACACTTGCAGTCCCAGGTTGGACACTTGCAGTCCCAGGTTGGACACTTGCAGTCCCAGGTTGAACACTTGCAGTCCCAGGTTGAACACTTGCAGTCCCAGGTTGAACACTTGCAGTCCCAGGTTGAACACTTGCAGTCCCAGGTTGAACACTTGCAGTCCCAGGTTGGACACTTGCAGTCCCAGGTTGGACACTTGCAGTCCCAGGTTGGACACTTACAGTCCCAGGTTGGACACTTGCAGTCCCAGGTTGGACACTTACAGTCATAGACTGAACACTTGCAGTCCCAGGTTGGACACTTACAGTCCCAGACTGAACACTTGCAGTCCCAGGTTGGACACTTACAGTCCCAGGTTGGACACTTGCAGTCCCAGGCTGGACACTTACAGTCCCAGGTTGGACACTTGCAGTCCCAGGTTGGACACTTACAGTCCCAGACTGAACACTTGCAGTCCCAGGTTGGACACTTACAGTCCCAGGTTGGACACTTACAGTCCCAGGTTGGACACTTACAGTCCCAGGTTGGACACTTGCAGTCCCAGGTTGGACACTTACAGTCCCAGGTTGGACACTTGCAGTCCCAGGTTGGACACTTACAGTCCCAGACTGAACATTTGCAGTCCCAGGTTGGACACTTACAGTCCCAGGTTGGACACTTGCAGTCCCAGGTTGGACACTTGCAGTCCCAGGTTGAACATTTGCAGTCCTAGGTTGGACACTTACAGTCTCAGGTTGGACACTTGCAGTCCCAGGTTGAACATTTGCAGTCCTAGGTTGGACACTTACAGTCCCAGGTTGGACACTTACAGTCCCAGGTTGGACATTTGCAGTCCTAGGTTGGACACTTACAGTCCCAGGTTGGACACTTGCAGTCCCAGGTTGAACACTTGCAGTCCTAGGTTGAACACTTACAGTCCCAGGTTGGACACTTGCAGTCCCAGGTTGGACACTTACAGTCCCAGGTTGGACACTTACAGTCCCAGGTTGAACACTTGCAGTCCCAGGTTGAACACTTGCAGTCCCAGGTTGGACACTTGCAGTCCCAGGTTGGACACTTACAGTCCCAGGTTGAACACTTGCAGTCCCAGGTTAAACACTTGCAGTCCCAGGTTGAACACCTGCAGTCCCAGGTTGAACACTTGCAGTCCCAGGTTGAACACTTGCAGTCCCAGGTTGGACACTTGCAGTCCCAGGTTGGACACTTGCAGTCCCAGGTTGGACACTTACAGTCCCAGGTTGGACACTTGCAGTCCCAGGTTGGACACTTACAGTCCCAGGTTGGACACTTGCAGTCCCAGGTTGGACACTTACAGTCCCAGACTGAACACTTGCAGTCCCAGGTTGGACACTTACAGTCCCAGGTTGGACACTTACAGTCCTAGGTTGGACACTTACAGTCCCAGGTTGGACACTTACAGTCCCAGGTTGGACACTTGCAGTCCCAGGTTGGACACTTACAGTCCCAGACTGAACACTTGCAGTCCCAGGTTGGACACTTACAGTCCCAGGTTGGACACTTGCAGTCCCAGGTTGGACACTTACAGTCCCAGGTTGGAAACTTGCAGTCCCAGGTTGGACACTTCCAGTCCCAGACTAAACACTTGCAGTCCCAGGTTGGACACTTACAGTCCCAGGTTGGACACTTACAGTCCTAGGTTGGACACTTACAGTCCCAGGTTGGACACTTACAGTCCCAGGTTGGACACTTGCAGTCCCAGGTTGGACACTTACAGTCCCAGGTTGGACACTTACAGTCCCAGGTTGGACACTTGCAGTCCTAGGTTGGACACTTGCAGTCCTAGGTTGGACACTTACAGTCCCAGGTTGGACACTTACAGTCCCAGGTTGGACACTTACAGTCCCAGGTTGGACACTTACAGTCCCAGGTTGGACACTAACAGTCCCAGTTTGGACACTTACAGTCCCAGGTTGGATACTTACAGTCCTAGATTGGACACTTGTAGTCCCAGGTTGGACACTTGCATTCCCAGTCTGGACACTTGCAAACCCAGGTTTGACACCTGCAGTCCCCGGTTTGATACTTGCAGTCAAAGCCTGAACACTTGCAGTCCCAGGGTGGACACTTGCAGTCCCAGGCTGGACACTTGCAGTCCCAGGGTGGACACTTGCAGTTCAAGACTGAACACTTGCAGTCCCAGGCTGAACACTTGCAGTCCCAGACTGAACACTAGCAGTCCCAGGTTTGGTACTTGCGGTCCCAGGCTGGACACTTGCAATCCCAGACTGGACACTTGCAGTCCCAGACTGGACACTTGCAATCCCAGACTGGACACTTGCAGTCCCAGACTGGACACTTGCAATCTCAGACTGGACACTTGCAGTCCCAGACTGGACACTTGCAGTTCAGACTGGACACTTGCTGTCCCAGACTGGACACCTGCTGTCCCAGGCTGAACACTTGCAGTCCCAGGCTGAACACTTGCAGTCCCAGGCTGAACACTTTCAGTCCCAGGCTGGACATTTGCAGTCCCAGACTGGACACTAGCAGTCCCAGGCTGGACACTCACAGTCCCAGGCTGGACACTTGCAGTCCCAGGCTGGACACTAGCAGTCCCAGACTGGACACTTGCAGTCCCAGATTGGACACTTGCAGTCCCAGACTGGTTTTACTTTCCACTTATTGTACCTATAGATATTGTACTAATTACACTTTGTATTATTCCAGGGGCCTCATTTTGAGGTGGAGAGAAAAATAATAGGCCAACTGTCCTCCTACGAAGCATGTCGTAAAAGACGACAAATTAGGGACGCTTCTTTTTGAAGTCGGAATGCATCTATCGAGGGGCGAGGTACCAAAAGTTTGCATTCAAATAAGCCCTATCAATACACACAATAGATCCACAACAAGAGCAAAGTTCAAATATTGACAAAAAACCAGAACTAAGCGGTTTACAACCGGGCGAAAGCTATGAAGAAGGAGAAGAAACTAATGAATGCTTGTGCCTCTTCTTGTTCTTCATTCGTTTGCTTGAAATAAACTATCTATGTCTGCAGTGCTGTCTCTAGTATAAAGTTCACTGTCTTTTGTAATTCGTTTGGCGGCCCGTAAAGTTTGGCTTCCACCTGTGTCTCTCTTGGCCAGACGTTCGGCCTGGCATGTGCCTAATTAAGTTGGGATGGTACAGCAGAAGAGTTAAAGTGACATTGGGGTGGGAGCCGGCAGAATGAGTTATTGAGGCACGCGGAGAACTGAGAACAATAGTTCATGCCAGTTGAATTTAACAAACGCATGACGAGGTCTTGATACCGAAATAGGTAATAACCGTCTTGCTTTCAGTTCAAGAGATTGATGTGGAGCTTTCGAAAAAATCGGAGTGCATCTGCCTGAAAGGCAAGTATACAACAGTCTGCGTGAAGATGAGTCAGACATGTAAAACAGATGTACACGCAGAGTTTCTGGAACAGGACTAGGGTCCAGAAAGTGGGCCAACAACCATAACTTTTTGCCGGAGTTTGAGGCCGGTGGACAAGAAGAAGAGGAAGTTCAAGCGTTCATATGAAAGACAAAAGACCCAGCTCCCACTTTCCTTTGCATATATCGATAGCCATCAATTTGTTTTTCAGACGCAGTTTTATATGGGATCGCTCGAAAATGCTATAATGGATTCGATGTTAAATGACAATAAATGTGTACATTGTTTAGTGCTAGATAAACACATCGCTGGGGGGAGACTTTGTGGTTGTCGTCAATGGACAAACTGATGCATGAAAAAGTAATGATTGTGGTTGTTGTCAATGGACAAACTGATGCATGAAAAATTAATGATTGTGGTTGTTGTCAATGGACAAACTGATGCATGAAAAAGTAATGATTGTGGTTGTTGTCAATGGACAAACTGATGCATGAAAAAGTAATAATTGTGGTTGTTGTCAATGGACAAACTGGTACATGAAAAATTAATGATTGTGGTTGTTGTCAGTGGACAAACTGGTGCATGAAAAAGTAATGATTGTGGTTGTTGTCAGTGGACAAACTGATGCATGAAAGAGTAATGAGTAATGTCTCTCTCTACCTGTGTGTATGTCTGTGTTTTTCTCCCTTATGACCGTAATATCCAGTTGTAGATAAAAAGCAATTCTTGTTTGGAAATGAGTTAAATCTAAAGCAGACATGTATGGTTAGTTTGTTACTTTTTTACGGAAGGGTGGGTTGGCTGGGGTGTTCATAATTAAGCTATCGTTCTTTCTTTCTTTCTTTCTTTCTTTCTTTCTTTCTTTCTTTCTTTCTTTCTTTCTTTCTTTCTTTCTTTCTTTCTTTCTTTCTTTCTTTATTTCTTTCTTTCTTTCTTTCTGTATTTTCTTTCTTTCTTTCTTTCTTTCTTTCTTTCTTTCTTTCTTTCTTTCTTTCTTTCTTTCTTTCTTTCTTTCTTTCTTTCGTTTTCTTTTCTTTCTTTCTTTCTTTTTCTTTCTTTCGTTCTTTCTTTCTTTCTTTTCTTTCTTTCGTTGGCAAATTTCTTTCTTTTCTTTCTTTCTTTTTCTTTCTTTCTTTCTTTTTCTTTCTTTCTTTCTTTCTTTGACGCTTTCTTTCTTTCTTTCTTTCTGTTTTCTTATTTTCCTTTTTTTTCGTCTCAGTTGCTCGTTATTTCTCTGGTTTTCTTTCTCTGGATGTTTTTCAAATTTCCCCTTTTCTTTCTCTCTTTCGTTCTCTCTTCCCCATAAGCTGTCTTCCCTTACAACTTGTTTATCACTCCTGTTTCCCTTCCCACAACACGCTTAGAGAATTAGGATTATTATTCTCCACATTTAATACTGCAATCATTCTCTCTTGCTTTTTTTTTTAAGGCCATTACCCGGTTGAGGTTTCCCGCGCTAATTGGTTAAAAAACGACAACACATACTAGAACTTGCACGGAAAAAAAACAGAATTGTTACAGCTCAATTGCATTATCATTACCCCACCCCCGACAATTTTCAGATAGCACGGAAACTTTTATTTTAGTGGTTTGTTGATTTGATATGCCTATAGGCAGTGTATACGCAACTAACTTGTGTCGGTGTCTGTGCTTAGGCGTTGCAAACGCGCTTCGTAATGCCAGGGTGCCGGGTTCGATCCCAGCTGCGGGCCTGGCGCCGGTTTCGACAGTGGTATCGAGAAGCCGACCATCCGGAAAGCAAAGGCAAACTACTGGACGTAAACTTGCCGAGAAAAACCAAAATAGCCAAAACATGCTGGGGTTGGGTCTGCAACGTCCTGTAAAGGCAACTAACATAGGCCGTGTGTCCTAGGTTCGGTTCTAGTTGTATGGTTTGTTACTCATCGCTTTGTACATCATCGACTGTGTGACTAACGTATTCTTCAGACAGAATCTGTCAATGGCTATATGTTATTTAGTTTTCTGTTGGTTGTGTGCCTGTCTGTCTGTCAATATTTAGCACAGTAATTCCCAAACTGTGCGCCGCGGCGCCTCCAGAAGCCGCCACCTCTTCACATGGGCGTCGTGAAATGCCTCGTGCATCTATTTCAGCATCTCTGTCTTGGCTGCGTTAGATTAGCAGTACACAACAGGTTATTCAAAATGTCCTGTCATAATTTACAACTTTAACCTAAGCTTTTTCCCCTAAAATAAAAGGTGCTCCACATATTCTAAAGTCTCGTCCTGGGCCCTATTATAGGGAAAACGAGAACAGTCATACTGCCTACCCAAAAGCATGCCGTAATAGTCGACTTATTACGAGTTTTCTTCGAAGTCGGAGTACATCGGCAGGAAAGGCAACAGTTGCATATAAATAAGTCAGATCTTTAAATCGGATGCGCATGCATCACTCGGGTTCTAGAACAGATCTACCATCCAAGTGAACGAGCAACCACAAGTTTCCGCCGAAGTTTAAAGCCAGTGAACGCGAATAAGAAGACAAAGAAAACCATGTGCCTAAAGCAACGGCTCTCAACCTGCTGTCCGCGGCCCTTTTTTGTATGTGGGTCAAACGACCTTTTCATATGGGTCACCTAAGAAAACACATATTTTCTGAAATTATAAAGGAAAATAATTGTTTTGGGGTTGCCACAACATGAGTTGGGTCGAACGACCCTTTCACGGGGGTCGCTTAAGACCTACGGAAAAAACATTCATTGAAGTTAAAAAGGAAAATAATTGTCTGGGGGTTGCCACAACATGAGGGAACTGTATCAAAGGGTCGCCACAACATGAGGGAACTGTATCAAAGAGTCGCCACAACATGAGGGAACTATATCAAAGGGTCGCCACAACATAAGTGAACTGTATTAAAGGGTCGCGGCAATTAGAAGGTTGAGGGCCACATGTCTAAAATGTCCACACAGCGCAAAAAGAAAGAAAAAAGGATCACTTGATTAAAAAAAAATATCGTTGCGTACCATGGTTGGAAAAAAGAGGGGGGACAAAAAAAAAAAGGGGGGGGGGGGTTGGCGAGGAAGAAGCTCTGCCTACCAATACACTCATTTCTGACTTAGAAGCTCTGCCTACCAATACACTCATTTCTGACTTAGAAGCTCTGCCTACCAATACACTCATTTCTGACTTAGAAGCTCTGCCTACCAATACACTCATTTCTGACTTAGAAGCTCTGCCTACCAATACACTCATTTCTGACTTAGAAGCTCTGCCTACAAATACACTCATTTCTGACTTAGTAAGGCTTACAGGTCCTCCAGTATGCTTGACCTTATTCTCAAGTCTTCCTTTAGATTACAAACGTAACGCACGAGCACACAGACGCGCACATACAGGCGCGCGCACACAGGCGCACAAATGTAGGCGCGCACAGACACACATGAGGACCCTCTGTTTTGGTTCGAATGACGCTTACAGCTTATTCAGTATGTCTACTATTATTCCCTAGCCCCTTTCCCTGTCAGATCTCTCTACATCTTTTTTCTAGCCCGCGACCCGACGCTCGTTTAAGTGCCATCTAGACATCAATGCCTGCCACACGGGCTGACAGTTTTCTCAGTGAACCTCTGTGTTAATATAGAATGTGGGAACATCACGTTCTAGAAATTGAAGAATATAAATTGCTATATATGACTGACATCTATGACCAATTGAGATGGGACTGAATTGTGAATAGCGGATGATTGGAGGGTGATATTAACTCTTTAGTTCGTCGCAAATTGTTGGTGTAAATTCTTCCGCAAACTTTCTGTAAAGTCATGAAGAGAAATGATTGCCTGCATTAGACAGCGCAGTGTACATTCTTTGGTCATGTGATGAGGAGGAGATAACTGGATTACATCAAAACATTGGAAAAGCTGGAAGAGCAGGAGGGGAGGACCGAGAGAACAGATGCCTTGCAGTTTGACATCATGGCATGGAGGATCATTTGTGTGTCAGAGTTGATTGAAAGTACACGAGACAGAAAGTTGTGGATAGGCATGACTACCAACACGACTCGGCATGGAGTTTAAAAAGAGTCTAAGTGCTCCAGCCTGTCATAGAAGGCAACCGTTGACGACTGGCCAGACTTATTAACTTATGCACTTACATTCCGTGTGCGAGGTTTATATTTTGATAGGACTTATATATTTTTCACTAGCTGTTCAGATGGATAGTCAATGACAACTTTTGATTTCCATTGATTCAGAATCAGAGCAAATTCGAAGCGACTCGTCTGCTATTATGTCCAAGCCATCTCCATCTTTATCCTTTGATACAGTTTGCCTATGCTGATCATTTTGTTTTCCTTCCTGTTATTCATTTATGAAGTCAAGTGAGTGACAGTAGAGTTCCTGCGACAGTAGAGTTCCTGCGACAGTAGAGTTCCTGTGACAGTAGAGTTCCTGCGACAGTAGAGTTCCTGCGACAGTAGAGTTCTTGCGACAGTAGAGTTCCTACCGTAGTAGAGTTCCTGCGACAGTAGATTTCCTACCGTAGTAGAGTTAATGCGGCAGTAGAGTTCCTACCGTAGTAGAGTTCTTGCGACAGTAGAGTTCCTACCGTAGTAGAGTTAATGCGGCAGTAGGCCGATATGTCCCCGATTGTGAGTTCCTGCGACAGTAGAGTTCCTGCGACAGTAGAGTTCTTGCGACAGTAGAGTTCCTGCGACAGTAGAGTTTCTGCGACAGTAGAGTTCCTGCGACAGTAGATTTCCTACCGTAGTAGAGTTCTTGCGACAGTAGAGTTCCTACCGTAGTAGAGTTCCTGCGACAGTAGATTTCCTACCGTAGTAGAGTTCCTGCGACAGTAGATTTCCTACCGTAGTAGAGTTAATGCGGCAGTAGAGTTCCTACCGTAGTAGAGTTAATGCGCAGTAGGCCGATATGTCCCGCGGTTGTGAGTTCCTGCGACAGTAGAGTTCCTGTGACAGTAGAGTTCCTGCGACAGTAGAGTTCCTGCGACAGTAGAGTTCCTGCGACAGTAGATTTCCTAACGTAGTAGAGTTAATGCGGCAGTAGACCCATATGTCCTGCGGCTGTGAGTTCCTTCTGCAGTAAATTCCCTGCGACATATTTCCTGCTGTAGTAGACTACCTGTGGCAGTGGAATTCTTGCTGCAGTAGATTTCCTGCGGTAGTAGACTACCTGTGGCAGTGGAATTCTTGCTGCAGTAGATTTCCTGCGGTAGTAGACTACCTGTGGCAGTGGAATTCTTGCTGCAGTAGATTTCCTGCGGTAGTAGACTACCTGTGGCAGTGGAATTCTTGCTGCAGTAGATTTCCTGCCGTAGTAGAGTTCTTCCCTTCAGCAGTGAAACTCCTGCGGTTGTGTTATTCCTGCGACATTAGAGTTCATGCGGTTGTCGAATTACTGCGGTTGTGTTATTCCTGCGACATTAGAGTTCATGCGGTTGTCGAATTACTGCGGTTGTGTTATTCCTGCGACATTAGAGTTCATGCGGTTGTCGAATTACTGCGGTTGTGTTATTCCTGCGACATTAGAGTTCATGCGGTTGTCGAATTACTGCGGTTGTGTTATTCCCTGCGACATTAGAGTTCATGCGGTTGTCGAATTACTGCGGTTGTGTTATTCCTGCGACATTAGAGTTCATGCGGTTGTCGAATTACTGCGGTTGTGTTATTCCTGCGACATTAGAGTTCATGCGGTTGTCGAATTACTGCGGTTGTGTTATTCCTGCGACATTAGAGTTCATGCGGTTGTCGAATTACTGCGGTTGTGTTATTCCTGCGACATTAGAGTTCATGCGGTTGTCGAATTACTGCGGTTGTGTTATTCCTGCGACATTAGAGTTCATGCGGTTGTCGAATTACTGCGGTTGTGTTATTCCTGCGACATTAGAGTTCATGCGGTTGTCGAATTTACTGCGGTTGTGTTATTCCTGCGACATTAGAGTTCATGCGGTTGTCGAATTACTGCGGTTGTGTTATTCCTGCGACATTAGAGTTCATGCGGTTTGTCGAATTACTGCGGTTGTGTTATTCCTGCGACATTAGAGTTCATGCGGTTGTCGAATTACTGCGGTTGTGTTATTCCTGCGACATTAGAGTTCATGCGGTTGTCGAATTACTGCGGTTGTGTTATTCCTGCGACATTAGAGTTCATGCGGTTGTCGAATTACTGCGGTTGTGTTATTCCTGCGACATTAGAGTTAATGCGGTTGTCGAATTACTGCGGTTGTGTTATTCCTGCGACATTAGAGTTCATGCGGTTGTCGAATTACTGCGGTTGTGTTATTCCTGCGACATTAGAGTTCATGCGGTTGTCGAATTACTGCGGTTGTGTTATTCTTGCGACATTAGAGTTCATGCGGTTGTCGAATTACTGCGGTTGTGTTATTCCTGCGACATTAGAGTTCATGCGGTTGTCGAATTACTGCGGTTGTGTTATTCCTGCGACATTAGAGTTCATGCGGTTGTCGAATTACTGCGGTTGTGTTATTCCTGCGACATTAGAGTTCATGCGGTTGTCGAATTACTGCGGCTGTGTTATTCCTGCGACATTAGAGTTCATGCGGTTGTCGAATTACTGCGGTTGTGTTATTCCTGCGACATTAGAGTTCATGCGGTTGTCGAATTACTGCGGTTGTGTTATTCCTGCGACATTAGAGTTCATGCGGTTGTCGAATTACTGCGGTTGTGTTATTCCTGCGACATTAGAGTTCATGCGGTTGTCGAATTACTGCGGTTGTGTTATTCCTGCGACATTAGAGTTCATGTGGTTGTCGAATTACTGCGGTTGTGTTATTCCTGCGACATTAGAGTTCATGCGGTTGTCGAATTACTGCGGTTGTGTTATTCCTGCGACATTAGAGTTCATGCGGTTGTCGAATTACTGCGGTTGTGTTATTCCTGCGACATTAGAGTTCATGCGGTTGTCGAATTACTGCGGTTGTGTTATTCCTGCGACATTAGAGTTCATGCGGTTGTCGAATTACTGCGGTTGTGTTATTCCCTGCGACATTAGAGTTCATGCGGTTGTCGAATTACTGCGGTTGTGTTATTCCTGCGACATTAGAGTTCATGCGGTTGTCAAATTACTGCGGTTGTGTTATTCCTGCGACATTAGAGTTCATGCGGTTGTCGAATTACTGCGGTTGTGTTATTCCTGCGACATTAGAGTTCATGCGGTTGTCGAATTACTGCGGTTGTGTTATTCCTGCGACATTAGAGTTCATGCGGTTGTCGAATTACTGCGGTTGTGGAGTTCCCGCTGTTGTGGAGTACCTGCGGCAGTTGAGTTTCTGCGGCAGTAGATTTCATGTGGAGTTCCTGCTGCAGTAGAGTGCCTGAGGTTGCCGAGTTACTGCGGCTGTAGCATCTTGTGGCAGCGTAGAATGTGTGTAAATAGAGAATCCCATGGCAGTGTAGAGGTGTGAGTAAATAGACAATCCTCTGGCAGTTTAGAGATGTCAGTAGATAGAAAATCCTATGGTAGTTTAGAGATGTGAATAAATAGAGAATTCTATGGCAATGTAGAGGTGTGAGTAAATAGACAATCCTCTGGAAGTTTAGAGATGTCAGTAGATAGAGAATCCTATTGTAGTTTAGAGATGTGAGTAAATAGAGAATTAAATGAGAGTTTAGAGATGTGAGTAAATAAAGAATTATATGAGAGTTTAGAGATGTGAGTAAATAAAGAATTATATGAGAGTTTAGAAATGTGAGTAAATAAAGAATTATATGAGAGTTTAGAGATGTGAGTAAATAAAGAATTATATGAGAGTTTAGAGATGTGAATAAATAGACAATTCTATGACAGTGTAGAGGTATAAACGAGTCTTGACTAAAATCTGGTGAAGCAGCATGAGCACTGATAGTATTCTAGGCCTGTGTTTTTTTTTTTCTTTCCTCTATGTTCCTGTCTATTCTCATTACCTCCGTTTTCGCGGTGTTAATTCTCGTTCCGTTTTCGCGGTGTTAATTCTCGTTCCGTTTTCGCGGTGTTAATTCTCGTATGTAACGTTTTGCAGATTTGATGCGAGGAGTCTTCTTCTTTCTTTTTTGTTCAAGGCTGTAAGCTCCGGTGGCAAGTCCTGGTTTGTTCAAGGCTGTAAGCTCCGGTGGAAAGTCCTGGTTTGTTCAAGGCTGTAAGCTCCGGTGGAAGGTCCTGGTTTGTTCAAGGCTGTAAGCTCCGGTGGAAAGTCCTGGTTTGTTCAAGGCAGTAAGCTCCGGTGGAAAGTCCTGGTTTGTTCAAGCCAGTAAGCTCCGGTGGAAAGTCCTGGTTTGTTCAAGGCAGTAAGCTCCGGTGGAAAGTCCTGGTTTGTTCAAGGCAGTAAGCTCCGGTGGAAAGTCCTGGTTTGTTCAAGGCAGTAAGCTCCGGTGGAAAGTCCTGGTTTGTTCAAGGCTGTAAGCTCCAGTGCAAAGTGCTGGTTTGTTCAAGGCAGTAAGCTCCAGTGGAAAGTGCTGGTTTGTTTAAGGCTGTAAGCTCCAGTGGAAAGTCCTGGTTTGTTCAAGGCAGTACGCTTCAGTGGAAAGTCCTGGTTTGTTCAAGGCTATAAGCTCCAGTGGAAAGTTCTGGTTTGTTCAAGGCAGTAAGCTCCGGTGGAAAGTCCTGGTTTGTTCAAGGCAGTAAGCTCCGGTGGAAAGTCCTGGTTTGTTTAAGGCTGTGAGATCCGGTAGAAAGTCATGGTTTGTTAGTCTATTTGGACTTTGGCCATGTGTGTGCCAGGGGCTGAGTTTGTCATGTACATCTGTTTTACTGACTTAATTGTGTGTAGTTGGTTGTTCACTGTCGCACGGGCAGATGCATTCTGACTTCGAAGAAAGCCGCCAATTAGTCGACTTTTACGACATGCTTGTGAGAAAGGCATTGGATTTGGTATTGTTTTCTCCACAATTTGCTTAAAAAAGCCATAAAAGCAACAAACAAACAAAATCCTGGCGTTGGTTCTGCAACGTCCTGTAAAGGATACAGAACTAAGTATTGAAAATAAAACAACCCTTTCCCCATTTCCCCTCAGCCAGACTTTAGTTTTACTCTCCGAATCACATACTTCTGAAGTTAGTTTTACTCTCTGAATCATATACTTCTGAAGATAAGATCACCGCCTGCCCTAGGTCCCCACAGACATCAACATTACTACATCATTAGACAGTTGTTTGTCTTTCCTCTTAGGCCACACGGTACCCCACCTTACAACACACGAGTGCCACTCCATCAGTTGGTTTCCAGACTACAAGAATTTCACCTTTACTAGTGGTTTTCAAACTTGTACCAGGAGGCGACCTCTTGAATATATCACAAGACGACCCCCTTACCCCATCCCACCAACCGACCACGCAAAGAAAAATTCGCAGCTCTCCTAAAAGGAAATTGGATGAAAACAGGCAAATCAGTCAAATTAGATTTTTAAAAAAACAGCAGTCGCCAACAACTAATAATTTCGTATCCAGATACTGTATGAATACGATGCGTGACAATACTTTGTCTTGAAGATACGTTGCGATTTTTGATCTGATTTTAAGCAAGACGCAACGGAGATCACTTTCCACATCAAGCTAGAAAGCTTTAAAGACAATTAGAATCGGGAAAATCCGGATTCACAAAAGTAAATTGAGAGAAAGGACAGTAGTTCTAAAACAGTTATTACAAGTGAGGGGCCCCCAGTTTCACTTGCTTGGCATTGGCTTTTGAGTTCTGGGACTCCAATGTAATTGGTTGGGAGGACACAGAACAGAACCGTTGCCCTTACCAATAAGCGTGTCGTAAGAGTCTACTAATTAGGGATTTTCCTTTCGAAATCAGAGTGCATCAGTCTAAGATGCAAGGAACCAACAGTCTGCATACAAATAAACCAGATTTGAAAAAAAAACAACTTAGGTTTCAAAGTAAGATTAAAGCCCAGAAGTGGACGAACAACTAGAACTTTCCGCTGGAGTTTGCAACCGGTGAAGACAAAGAAGAAGAAAAAGAATGAGAAGAATTTCTTAACATCACTCTTGAACCACCCCCTCCTCCCTTCCTTCCCCTTCCCCAGGATTCAAACTTTCCATGTTGAAAATCACAGGGTTATACCGAGTTTAATAAACATAATTTTGTGGATGTGTTTTGTGTTTATGTGTGTTTGTTTAATATTTTCGTATATCCGACTCCTTACAAAAAAAAAAAAAAAACCCAAAGATTGGTGCAAGTTAAATATATGAAATCTCGAGATTGGGAATTGATCGGACATTGGTGCATGTTTAATATCTGGGACACGGAGATTGCGATTTGATACAAGTGTATAGAATGTACCAGCGGGGATTAATGTGGCCAAAAATATAACGTTGTTTCCATATTTGGCTCACACTGGGCGTAATCGACCGCGAACAAATGTCGGTATTATCTGTCTTTGTGGCGACTTATCTCGTTCTTATAGTGCAAAATTGAAGTTCTCTTTTTCACGCCTGCAGACATAAAAAGCGTATCGCGGTAGATCTGTATTACGATTAGAATTTACTTAACTGCACTCTGGATATTTCCATACGTGCTCTGTACCCTTCTTCAGCAGCCAACAAGGAGTACACATTCCAACAGTTGGAACCTGCTTAAAAAAACCGCGTGTATCCCCATCAGTGTTGAATATCTTCTAGAACCTCTAACATCCATACGAACCAGATTGTGACCGGTACCATCAAAACTAGAGCTCTGCGCTGGCTGCTGAAGATGAGGACGAAGCATTCTGTTATGTCATTTCTGGGCTCAACTTAACTCAACCCCCGTACGAACAAGAAGCAGCAAGATAAGCTTGTGTCCACAGAGGTTTTGGAGAGATCTCAATTATACTGTAATCTCACAGACGTCCAGTGTCTGTCCGAAATCCTGATAGGTGGCGCTATTCTTGGGCGCACAGCTCTGTTGCTATCTAACTCATTGTTGTCCTTCGTTTCCGGAGCCCGCATTAGGAAGGATCTACGGGTTATAACCAGGAGATGCTAGGGAGTGGAAGGTTAACGATGTCTGACGTGAAATAACCCGATTATGGAGGGTGATTAGCAAGGCGAGGAGGGTTTAGGTCCAGTAAACTCGGGGAATGTTTGACTATCAGTTTGTTTAGAGCAGAATGTTTGACTGTCAGTTTGTTTAGAGCAGAATGTTTGACTGTCAGTTTGTTTAGAGCAGAATGTTTGACTGTCAGTTTGTTTAGAGCAGAATGTTTGACTGTCAGTTTGTTTAGAGCAGAATGTTTGACTGTCAGTTTGTTTAGAGCAGAATGTTTGACTGTCAGTTTGTTTAGAGCAGAATGTTTGACTGTCAGTTTGTTTAGAGCAGAATGTTTGACTGTCAGTTTGTTTAGAGCAGAATGTTTGGAACCTTAGTGTTGAGCAACGTTAAAATAAAGGTTATGTGATAAGAAGGAGAAAACTGTAATACATCGTGACAGTAGAAAAGTTTGATGCCGGACAGTCTGACATCCTGGCATAGAGGCTCATCTGTGTCAGAGTTAAATAGTTTAACTTTGCATAGCTTAGCCTATCTTAGCCTATCTTAGCCTATCTTAGCCTAGCCTATCTTAGCCTATCTTAACCTAACTTAACTAAGCCTAGCTTAGCCTTATTATTTCTGAGCTTAGCTTAGCTTAGCCTAGCTTAGCCTAGCTTAGCTTAGACTAGCTTAGCCTACCTTAGCCTAGCCTAGCCTAGCTCAGCCTATCTTAGCCAATCTTAGCCTAGCCAAGCTCAGCCTAGCCTACCTTAGCTTAGCCTAGCCTAGCTTTGCCTAGCCTAGGTTCGCTTAGCCTAGCCTAGCTTGACCTAGCCTAGCATAGTTTAGTCTAGCTTAGCTTTGCGTAGCGTAGCTTAGCTTAGCCTAGCGTAGCTTAGCTTAGCCTATCTTAGCCTAGTCTAGCTTAGCCTAGCCTAGCTTAGCGTATCTTAGCCTAGCTTAGCTTAGCCTAGCTTAGCCTACCCTAGTTTAGCCTAGCCTAGCTTAACTTAGCTTAACTAGCTTAGCTTATCTTAGCCTATCTTAGGCTATCTCAGATT